ACTTTAAAGATTTTTATCTTGCCAATAAAAAAACATTGAACTAGCTTATGAGAATGACAAGAAAACCATTTACTCAAGGGGCAGACTTGCACTTCACTAACTTGCATAAAAGTAACAATTTGCAACAAAAGGCAGTTTATATTAGATAACGTAAAATACTACTGACCTCTTCAGACAACTGTTCTATTTTCTCAATGTCCTAAAGGGAAGCAATACTAGAAAACATTGTTAGTGCAGCTTTAATCTCCAATTCTGGTGGGGCTATGCAAATAAGAGCTTTAACATAGGTTTATGGAAATAGTATTGCCACAAATTTGTTACCATCTGATTGTCAAAGACCATATTTGTATTACCAAGCAAATGACAGGTGTACCCAAGGGCGTAGGAATATGTTTACAATTGGGGGGGACACATGTCGGAAATCTGAGATTCGTAAATATTCAACAGAAACATATCTTAAGTACGCTACTTAAAAAAAAAGGCTATTTAATCTTTTACTTTATTCCTTTATAAATGTGTTTGTAAAAATAATGCATTTAAAATTAACATAATGCATTTGTTCATAAGATGTGAGCATATCACCAAACAAAATAACTGGAGTCTTTTATTAAGCAAAGGGAGATGTCTTTCAAGGGCTTCAGCCCTTGGCATATTTAGTGTCCGCATACGCACTAGAAAATCAAAACAATTCAGTAGGCCACACAAGTGCAAAGTTTGATATGTTTTATTTTGTCAAACTTGCAATAATGGTCAAAAATGAATTTATATAGGTTGACTGACAGAGGGAGCTGACAATGTGTTGAAGAATTATGGACAGGGCGCTTTGAAGCATCTGGTTCAAAAACGCATTATCAACCTTTGGTAGAAATCCATCCATCCTTCCATTTTCTGTACACCCTGTCCCTTAGTGGGGTCGGGAGGTGCTGGTGCGGGGTCCACCCTAGACAGGTGGCCAGTCTGTCCAGACCTTTGGTAGAAATGGCGCCTTTAATTCCAATTTGCAGTACAGAACAGAGAAAACTACAGAGTTGTCAATGTTGTGTTAATCTGTTTATAGTGTAAAAAGAGGAGCCAGCAGTTTATTTGAGGAAATAAAGATGCAGAAGGTAATTAGTTGGTTAATTAGTGGTTGTGCAGCAGTCCGCTGCACGACCAATGCGGCCGCCGCTGCTAAGAATTAGAATTAATTCTCCCTGTGGTTAACTAACGATCAGGAGCGCGGCAGGTATAACATCTGTCCATTTCGGCGAATCAAAACCATGCAAAAAATAAAAAATCCTCGTAAACGCACGCCCAGACCGGGCTAATTTCAACACAAGTTGTGTTAGGTGACTGTTACTCACACTGACGTTTCTCTTTTAAAAAAATCTGAGTAAGTCCAACTGCTGTTTCAGCCTTTTAGTTGGTGGTGGCATTGTACTGAAATGAGATATAAAAAAATATATATAAAAAAAACATTTTGGCTAGCGTGGCAAACGTCTAGAGAAAGTTAGCAGTTAAATATTGGATGAGTGATCAGCCCAAGACTACGGAAGAGGATTAGGGCCACTGGAAAAAAAAAAAAAGTTAAGTGATTTTTACATTTTGTTTCAGTTTAATACGGGAAAAAAGTCAGAATCCTGACTTTTATTTTCAGAATTAAGACTTTTTTTTCTCAGAATTCTGACTTTTTTTCTCAGAATTTTGGATCTTAATGTAGATGGGCACCATGAAGGCAGAGATGTGGAGCACTCAGCTTCACTGAGCAGAAGGTCATTAAACAAGAGAGCTAGGCTCTAAAACAGACATGACTATGGCTTGATGCTAACATGTTTGTTGTTAAACATACTTTTGTTATATTACATTTGTGTTGTGTTTTCCAAATAGTGTAGAAAATTAATGGTGGGTTTATAATGTTTACCTTTTATGAGCAGGACAGGAAGCAGAGAAGTGTAGCATTACCTCCAACTAGTTAAACTCATAATTATGAAGTTATTCAAAAAATTCCTCAAGTAAAAAAGTGCAACTTTTATTTTTTATTTATTTATTTTTTTTAACCAGATTTGTTGATTAATTTCAGAATTATGTATTCCTTCCAAATTTCCAAATCTGAAGAATTTTTTAAACCAATATCTACATTATTTAACATTTAGTTTGTTTTAGCAGTACTTCCTGTTATATTTCTTTATACGTATATTTTACATTTTCTTGCACAGCAAGCTCAGCAGATTTGAAATTGTGTGCTTGTGTAAACACTAGTCAATCCTTACTCTAAACATATATTCTGGTTATTTTTTAGTGAGACCTTCTTGTTTTTTATATATCTGTATAGTACCCCCGCCCCCCCCCCCCCCCCCCCCCCCCCGCCCCCACCACCACCACCACCACCAAAAAAAAACTGTAAATTGATTAGAAACATTAATCATCTCTCAGATTTCTGAGAAAAAAGTCAGAATTCTGAGATTAAAGTCAGAAATCTGAGAAAAAAGTCAGAATTCTGACTTTTCTCAGAATTCTGACTTTAATCTCAGAATTCTGAGAAAAGTCAGAATTCTGACTTTTTCCCCCATGTGAAACTAAAAAAAATTAAAAATCAGTTAACTTTTTTCAGTGGCCCTAATCCTCTTCCTACAAGACTAAGATGCCTAAACCAAAAAGATTCAGTTTCTATATATGAAAGTGAACTGACAACAAGACGTTATAAATAAGCAATATTCATAGCAGCATCCCCACAGACCATTTTACCTCATTCACAAGTTTCTGACTTTCTGTATCGCTGTTTCCCTCTGAGTGCTCAAACACTCAACAGTTCACAGAGGGGAGGGGGAGTACAGTGACGTAACGCTATGCTGCGCCTTCAAAATAAAAGCACGACAGTTAAAAAATTGTCAAAATCTAATATTTTGCGGTACAATTTTTTGGGGGGACATATCCACCTGGCTTTTATATTGGGGGGGACATGCCCCCCCCCGTTTCCTACGCCGCTGGGTGTACCTAATACATTTGTTGGTGAATGTATAGTATTTTCTTCTATTATAATAAAACACTTCACCTGGTACCATACAGTGAGATAAAGCCAACAATTCAGATGCTGAACACAATGAATGCCATACTAAACCTCTAGTGCTGCAGAACACAGGCCCACACTCTGGGCAGGTCATTAGTCTTTGGTTTCCAAGACTGACAGCACTGTGCCTCTGTGCATTCAGTAAAATATGTTCACCTGTTTGGCCTGGCAGCGCCAATGCTGAAACAGATTTAGTGTTAAGAGACTGGGGGCACCAGTGTCACTTACAAACAACAAAGATGTGACAAAGGGAAAAAAAAAACTAAAATCTGGCATCCACTCTGTAGCCCCCAGATAAGCTCAGCAATGGTAGCGAGTCATGAGCTCATTCATAATGCTGCAAAGAATAAATACATTCATCAAAGGGAAAGACTGACATTTAACATTTTCTTCAATCTGTATACTTCTGATAATAATTTTTCACACATATAAGGCCTGTTCACAAAAATAACAGGAAGTCATTGAATGAAATTCCATAAATATAATAATATACAGCTCCTGTCTGTAAGTTTTAGGAGGGAAGGTACCCCAGCCAGTTTAACAATCCCTAAACACAAAGTCCATGTTGTATGGCAGGTATTTTTATCTTGGATAAGTTGGCTTGTTTAGACCTTCATTTCTGACTCATTCAAATAAAGTATAAAGATTTCAAATTATTAGGGAAGTTACGTTTCCTCTAAAGTTGGTCAATAATGATTTAAGGGTAAAATTTAATATTGTGCTTCAAGCCCATTAGAAATGGGGATCTGTGACTCAAAGAAGTCATATCACATAAGAGTTTTCAGTTTCAAAAAATGCGTCTAATGCCTCAACTTGGATACTTGTGCACTTTGAGGTTAGACGTGCCGGATGCTCCACGCTTGACGTTTCAGTTTTTAAGGTGCTCTGTTCTGTCATAACAATCTAGAAATTGGAGAGAGGCTTCGCTTTAGTTGCTTTGATGAGTTGGGGAAAAAATGTCAGATGCTAAAACCTACTAAAATAAGAGCTCTAACTACCTGTTAGCCTTTTACAACCCAAGAGTTCCTATACTGTACTTTACTGAGATCTTATTATATGCTACCAGTGAGACAAGTATAACTAATTCGAGCTAAACAGACCCTCACCTCAAAGAAATCAAAAGTATCACATTTAAAGCTTATTTAGATTTTTTATCTTAAGTAGTATTTTGGTCATAAGTTTTTGACTTGTGTTCAAGTTTCAGGATAATAACCGATGTTGTGTCTAATATCGGAAATCAAAATACATGATGCATAAAACCTAAAAAAGGTTTAGGTATACTATTGTCTTTTATTGTATATGTTCATTGAAATGTGGCACAAATTGGGTTACGTGGGTTTTCTTTTTTTTCTCATAGTAGCAATAACAATAATATAATAACTTTAGAAAATCCTATGTTTACCATATTTTAACACAAGAAATTTACAATATAACATTTACATAATATATCATCGAAGCAGCAAAGTTGCACTGTATTCTGTTTTCCACCAGTGGAATATTGAGCCTACTTAATCATTTCCCATAAAAACACTTGATACAGTTTCCTAAGTCAACAGGTAAAACCCTTACAATACATTGCCAGTAATAAATGAGGCAGCTCAATACTAGACAAAAGCAGCATTGTCGTTTTTAGAAGCAGGCACTTACGCCACAAGTTAATTAAAATAACATCAACACAGAAATTTGCACAAATGACTATTAAACAGCTTTAATTGATCTCCTTTTTTAGCTATATAAATATGTATAAGCAATGGAGTGCCCGCTCTTATATATTATAACTTATTACTCCTGTCTGAGTCTAAAAAATATGAACTCACAACCGGCACAAAAATTAGAAAATCTGCCTTCGTTCACTCTTAAAAAAACTACATAAATACTTCTTTTGTGCTACTTTCATAGACCATGGAGGTGTTTACACTGGTTGACTAAATTTCACTTTGTAATTTTTACTTACAGTCAGGTGAAGCTTCCAGACTGGTTCATTACAGTATATGGGCTGTTTCTACTAATGATTTTCCCTAAGCGCATAGCACTGGCATGGAAACAAAGGATGTGGATATTATGTTGCTGTAGTAACTGTCTTCAGCAGGTTCCCATGGTACTGACTATGGTGTAACTGAACCTGGACATGGATGCCCCCGTTGCCATAACATCCTCCTCGTTCTCACGTGGTTCCCGCCGGCGGCAATGATGGCAGCAAGGAGCAAAGCAGCAGGAGAAAGTGCCGAACAGGGCCTTGCGGAAGCGTGTATTCATGAAGCAGTAGATTATTGGGTTGACACAAGCAGAGGTGTAACTCAGCAAATGGATGAATGCAATGGGTGTCCCTGAGAGGGTACTTTCAGCGGTGGCGTTATCAAAAGCCCGCCACGTGTTTACACAGTATAGAGGCATCCAGCAGAGAAAGAACAAAAAAACGATGACCACCAGCATTCGAATGACTCGCTTCTTGGCCTCCAGCTTGGCTCCAGATGCATTGCTGCGGGGTCTGTCAATCTTCATGGACTGGGTAGATGTAGACATGGTGGACATCTCCATTGAGCGTTGCCGTTTGACCTCATTAACATAGCAACCGTCTCCATCATCAGGATTACTAGACAAAGAGGAAGTCAGCCCATTCTTTACATCTACAGGGAAACAGCAGTGTAAAAGCTTTTAGTATTTTTATAACTGGTAATTGCAACAAAAGTAAATATTCAACATTTTTCAAAATGATTAGATTTATATGCAAAATAGGCTCTAATTTTATACGCATTAGAATGTTTCTACATAAAGAAAAAGTTACTCAAAATAGCTGCATTACTTTGAACTGGAATCAAGTAAAATCTTATCCATGCCCTTTACTGGTACTGGAAACCAGTAAAAGGTTTAGGGGCTGTACGCAGTACCAGAAAGACATGCTGCCTGTTATTTTGTGCCACCAACTTCAGTGCACAGTTGCTAATCTAATTATGCAATTTGACTGGTCTGCAGTGTTTTAATTTGCAAAAATCATGCACAAATCTGTCCTTCTGCATGCTTATCTCCATGTATTACTTTCAGAATTTTATTTCTTCCACCTCACAAGAGGTGATCCAAAACTTTCTTTAATTTCTACCAAACTAATCTCTATATTACATCCAGAATTAATATTATATTATCCTATTGTTTAATTTGGGATTTCCCAAATGAAAAAACCTTTGAATATTTCTCTAGTTCCTGTATTTATATCATTTCATTCATATTCATATAGGAGTTAAATATTTCCTTGTATTGTCACAAAATTGTCTTCTCTTAGCATTTTTTAAGCATTTTTAATAACATATTTTTTCAAATTAAGTTCTTGATTTTTATTGCTAAACCCATATGAGGTGATAAAAAAGAGCATATCATGGGTGAAACCATTATCACCTAGAACTATTTTTATCCTCAGGTTTTTAATCTGAATACCTGACTGAATATGTGAAAGTTTCTCCTAAATAGCCCTAAAATACACAAGGATTTTAAATTGTATAATGTGCAATATTATCTGTACTAAATACCGAAATTAACTATGTTTCACAGAAGATAGAATACCAGTAAAAACCCATTAATGTACAGGGAGAGCATAGAAATTCCATGCAGAAAGCCTCCAGGCCAGGATTTTCTTCAATAAAGTAATTACATATTTTAAATTGTAAGACACAGGTTGCATGTATTATTACAATTAAACTTTTTGATAAGTTTTCGGTCTTTGAGTTTGGATGTCCCCTCTCTTATAATCTCAATCTCAATTTTCTATCAGATGCAAGTTGGGTCTTGGCAATGTATTTTTCATACATTTGTGTAACTTAGGTTCTCTATTATTCCCAAGGGAAACAATTTAGTTTCCAGTCCAGTTCCCAACTGAGGAGCCCACTGTGGAGACCAACCCTTCAGTTTAGCTGAAGTTATTGAGCCATTGAGTTACTGAGCTCAATGTCTATGAGTTATAGTATGGGTTGGAGTGAAGCAACCTTTTTTTAATATATATGAATTTATGTAATCTCTCATTTTCATGGTTTTGGATCTGTTTTCATTTTCTTTTCGAATTTTCATTGGTTTATTTTCCATTTTGTGTATTTTTTTAGTTCTTACTTATTTCTTGTTTACCCTCTGTTGCCCCCTTGTGTCAGTCTCCTTCCCCTAGCTCCCTTCTAGATGCTTCCATCCACATCTGCTCCTTGTCAGCTCATTAGCCCAGTCTTTGTTCAGTCTCCCACTTATACTCTCCCTGTGCAGTTCCCCAGTGCCGATTTGTCATTGTTTCTTGATCCTCTTGTGTGTTTTCCCTGACATCTTCTATTTTTTGGTGTTAGATATTTTGTTGTTTTTGGATTTTGCCTCAGTTGCCACCTTTTTGAATTGTTAAATCTGCAAGAAACCACTTAAGTTTACATCTCTTCATCTGGGTCCTCCAAAACCTCCACTCAACCTGACACTTATCTGTGTTTTTAATAAAAAAAAATGTCTTAACCTTGAACAGCTTTTGAACGTTAAATCTCTAAATCTGTATTTCTACTGCAATCTTAAAGCTCTTTATCATCCACAAAGACCTTATTTTACTGATCATTTGAGTTTGATAAAGCTTATCAAAACTGATCATCTTGGAAATATAGGGAAAATCAATTACACAAGTGTTGCCTTGCAGGGACTGGGTTTCAATTTCAGCTGGGATTCTTTCTTCATTGATTTTGCATGTCCTCCCCATGCATGTGTGAATTCCAACTGGGTATTAAGGTTCCTCTCACAGTCAAAAAACATGTCTGTTAAGTTGACTGGTCTCTATCTTTCTGGTCGACTGGTCTCTCTCTACATCATCTAAGCAGTGTGTGTGTCTGTGTGTGTGTGATTGTTTTTTACTTTTTTGTCATCTGTTCCACTGTGTTCTTCTGTAATAAATTGGCGACCTATTCCCCAATGACCAATAGAGACAGACAACAGGTACACCCTGACGACTAATGGATGCACAGATGGATAGACAGATGAAGAAAAACAATCTCAAAATTTTACACTATTTTGTATTCAAAACAGGGATTTTCTCTAGCAGTTTGATCCTGATTGCCAAATTGCTCATTATGTTAAAATATACTTTAAGAAAAAGGTAGTCAAAATTTCAGCAATACTCCTTTTTTAGTGGCAGTACAGAATGTTTATTGTTGAACAAATGTTTTTTTCTACATTTTTTTTTAAATGCCCTTAAATGGTTATCATTATTTGTCCCCTTTTTCCTGTAGCCAGTAGATTGATCCCTGTGATGACACAGGCACCTATTTGTAGGTTTATTCTGAATGACTCATCGTTCTTTAAAAAGCAGTTTCTCAGCTTGATGGAGTAAAAATTGACTCACATTTCCTGCAAAAACACAGTAATCATCTTCAGGGGGATATTGAAACTTATCAGAAATATTTGATCATCCTATTATTCTTCCATAAAGGAAAAAGTCGAACAAAACATTTGTAGAGGCCCAGGGTTACATTTAACAAACATAAGATGGTTTCCTCTATAGGGTAGATGAATTGTCTTTCAAATACAATGAAAACACACATACTATTACACTATATTGTTCCTGTGTTCTTGTTTTATGTTTGATAAACTGTATTTTGTAAAGAAATTGAAAATTCAAAAATAATTGCAATGCCCAGGCCCACAGTTTAGAGAAAACTGAATTCTATAACTCAGTGCTTGTCTTGACTCTTGTCAAGTAAAACTGATTATATGCAGTTCATTCTGGCCTAATTGTTGGGAGCTGGAGAAATTCCACCTTTCTCCAGCAGAGTCCGCCGTGGATCCTCTGAGGGAGCCTCCTGCTCAGCTGCAGCTCATCAAGATCATCAGAGGATCCACTACTTAAGCTGTCTTCAGACCTTGCCTCAACGCCGCAGTGTTGTTCCAGTTGGTCAGCGCTTAAGCCTAGATCCTCAGTGTTACTCTATGACTTTTGAATCCAGCTTGGATTCTAACCCTTGTCTCTGTCTTCCAGGAAACCTGTGCCTCCTCTGTGAAAGCTCAGGAAGAGCTAACCTGCCGAGCCGACCCTCAGAGCCAAACCTGAAGAATCACAGAGAACTTCCAAGCAGCTCTGGACTAGAGCTGGGAAACCCTAAACCAAGGTCTGTTCATATTAGACGTGAGACGCTGAAGCAGCAAACGGACTCGGCTGATGAACTCTTCTCCAGATCCAACAGAGACCCTCCCAAAGCTAACCTCAAGAACCCTCAAGGTACAATCAGTAAACTTCAGGAAATCAAACCTCTGTTGGCAACGCTAACTGAACTGTCTCTCACGCAGACTCCGGTGAACCAGTATCCAGGCCCCGAACCTGAACCAGTACATTCTGTGTGCTTATGCATCAATAAACTTGTTAAACTTTCATCCCTGTGTCCGTCAGTGGTGTTCAGCATCATTGGGTCGCTTTTAGTGAACCCATCATGACAGAACACTGCGGCCAAACTCAAGACCCAGCAGATCACTACATCCGTCGACTAGAGGAACAGGCTGCCCAGATCCATGGACACGGCCTGGCTCTACGTGAGTTAAACACCCACATAGAAAGACAAAATCAAGCTTTTCAAAGCTATGCTAACTACGTGAACAGCGCTAATGCTGCATCGGTACAACAACCATTTCCGGGTCCAGTCCCTCCTCCTAGGTCACCAGCAGTGACGTCATCTGAGTTCCGTCCTAGTCTCCCAGAAAGATTTTCTGGTAACATGAAAGATTGCAAAGGATTTTTATTTCAATGTCGATTGATTTTTCAGAACTCCCCTGGCAGCTTTTCCACGGATTACAAGAAGATAACTTTCATTCTCTCACAGTTAACGGGAAGAGCCTTGGAATGGGCTCAGGCAAGATTCGCCGCTGACGATAGCTTAAACTGCTATTACTCTGATTTCATCTCTGAATTTACCCAGGTATTCAACCAGGAAACTGACCAAACTATAGACTCCAGAGCTCTTTTCAACCTAAAACAGGGAAACTCTTCGGTGGCTGAATTTTCCATTAACTTCCGGGTTAAAGCGGCAGCTTCCGGATGGAACCAAAGTGCTTTAAAGGGAGCCTTTTTCATGGCATTAAATGAGCACATTAAGGATGAGCTCGCAACCCTCGACGAACCAGCTACCCTCGAAGATCTAATTCGCCTCTCCATTAGATTGGATAATAGAATTCGTGCCAGAAACAGTTCAAAGAAGCAGGGTACACTTTCTTCTGCCTCACATAACGTGACTGTTTGTTCTTCCTCTACAGAGCAGCTGCCCATTCAGAGGCCTAAGTCCCAGTCTCTACCGTTGCCTATTCAGGCCTCTCATTTGAGCGAAAGGGATGTCGAACCCATGCAGGTGGGACACACTAGGCTCACTCCAGAGGAGAGGCAAAGGCGTTTTCTAAGCAAACTATGTATTTACTGTGGCGAGAGTGGACACTTCATCGCTTCCTGCCCGGCTAAATCAAAAGCCTGGGCCCGCCAGAAGATCTGATGAGTCTGGCGGGCCAGATAAACACTAAGAAATCTCCTCGACTGTTACTTCCTGCCACGTTGTTCTGTGCTAATCAAAACCTCTCTTTTTCTGCATTCATCGACTTGGGCTGTGAACGTAACCTAATCGATTCTAACCTCGTCCAGCAACTC